TCGATATTAAGAAAGGTTTTGAATTTTACCTCAAATTAAAGTCTAGCGAAAATCGTTTCCCGCAGCCTTCAAAAGTACATTGAAATGGCTTTTCGCCCGTGTGTACCAGCTGATGCCTCTTTAGTTTAGAGCTTTCTACAAATGCCTTTCCACATTCTGCACAGACGTGAACACGGGGACCGTGTGTATGCAAGTGCTTACGCATTGCGGACGAGTCCCGAAAGTATTTATGACATCCTTTATGAGGGCAAGCAATCTTTTTATCGTTGGCAAACTGCGAAGGATCGGATGCATCAGTACCATTTGCCACAATGTCAGTTGATGGCGCTGCTATAAATAAATCAAGATTATCGTATTACACGAGTGATTTCATCAAGAGCCTAGATACCAAAACATTGTTTAATAGCGCTACCTTGACGAACCACACTAAAGGGTACCGATCCTGTGGCAGCTACCTCGTTCATTATATCACAATCAATGTCATTTGGCACTAATGATTGATTCTCCGTAGTCAGAAGCGATTCTTCGTTAATAAGCCGACATCCTTGCGACACAACTGTAAATGTCGATGTATGCGTCTCGCAATTTAAACTTCTTTTAGAGTTGCTGTTGGCCTTATCCATTGAGCCAGTTGACCCAGATAATGGAACAATCAAATGAGGCTGAAGTTGAAGGAATTGTTCTTGCTGTTGCTGGAAAAACAACTGTTGCTGATGTAATACTGTGTCATTTTTCTTAACCTGTTCTGGGCTCAATGTCTTGTTTGATGCAGCGTTTTGAAGGGCATTTTCATTTCCATTCAAATAGTCGACGTCCTCTGCATTTTGATCAGAACTGGAATACTCATCGTCCGATGTCCCAGAAGCCCACATAGTTACACTAAACTCCCCCTCCATTGTTTTGATTTGAACTAATTTTTGCTCCCATCGTCTGGACTTTCCATTTGCCGTCATCAATGAAATGTTTTTTCTCTCCATAGCTTCCGAATCATTAGAAGGCTCTTTAGCGCTGTCGTGCTGACGCAACTGCTGCATGCAATTCACCAGGTCTTGTGTAACGTCTTTTTCAGATTCCTCGATAAATTGATTTGTCGTTTGCAGTTCCAAGTTGTTGGCGTTCATGTTTTGAGCTTGCCTGCAAAAGTTTTTGATTAAGTTTTAAAATAAAAGCGGAGTTTCTAAGCTTGTACTTACATTTTAGTTGATAGGCAAATATTTTTTGCCGTCTTCAGCAATGATTTGCCATCAATGTTTATGTTATTATGTGCTTCCACCTGTGCATATGAGTCATTCTGTGAAACAAGCACCATCCTGGCGCTCTGACCAATGTCCTCTGAGCTTAAGACTGACAAAACGCATAATGCAATTATATAAGCCATTTTTATTTGCAATTAATAACCGTGTCCCTTTGTAACATAATTATTAAAAACGTCTGCACGCTGGAGCTTATATATATATATATATATATATATATATATATATATATATCAATGAAATATATATATATATATATATATATATATATATATATATATATATATATATTTATATATAAATATATTGTAACTTTGCCCCTCGTGACATTGTCTATTCAACTATAGATTTATATATACTTACTGTTACTTATATTTTGCACATTTAGAGTGCGAAGCTCATCGGACTTGGGAATTCCTTCCTCATCGTTTTGAACTAATATCCCATAATGTTCATAGGCAAAGTTATTTGGATCCATTACTGTTTTAGTTATTGTACATTGCAGGTTATGCCAAAATATGCTACATACAAAGTTCTGTTTGTTTAAATGTATGCAAATTATTCACATATGTTATGAAGAGGATTATGAAGTTACTTTTTAGGAAACTTTCCGAGAGTTCTGTTGGACTTAGACGCACAGCTAGATTTCAATTAATTTCACGCTTACACTATAATTTCCTAATAAATTTGTACACTTGATTTGCCGTTACATATACATATGTAGTTATTTATTTTGAGATCAAGAGTTAAGCGTAGAATCCATCCATAGGCTATGAAATGGAGTTTTTATGAAGCCCGATGTCCGATGCCAGAGCCGCATCCGTATAACATTAAAGACGTGTGAGCAATGTTCTTTTCTTTTGGAACGGATGCTTAAATTCTATTTTGTGTGCTAGCACTAAATAAAACAAAATGTCGTAAATATTGTTTATGAGAAAAACAAATAGAAGCTTCTTTGATTACAAAAATAATTTAAAAGGAACTAAGCAGAACAAAAATGGATGCGATGAATAACTGACGATGTGACCAAGTGTTGCAAGCAGTAAAATACCAAATTTCATGCAATAAACCGTCTATACACTGCAGACTTAACGAATGACGATGGAAAATACATCGTTTCATTTTATTATAGTAATTAATATATTTTTAATTTATTATTTTGATTTATTTTATTTTAATTTTTATTTGAAAATAAAAAATAAACGATATACATCCATTGACAATATTTATATATATTATAATAATGTTCTTATCGAGTGTTCTAGTTGTTATTCATATGAGTTTATTTAACTACAAATTTTCTAACAAAAAGAAAAAACTTTGAAAAACTTTATGTTGCGCGATATTTGTTTATTATATTTGCTTGTTTGGCTACGCGTAATGCGACTGTAAGCGATGTTTTTGTATTCTCCTCAGCATCATTATAATTTTTTATTATATTATTTTATTATTATTATTTAACATTTAAGCCATTTTTTAACTGTCAAAATTTATAGCATCTACCCGCGGCTTTTCCGCTGTGAACTTATTAAGTCACTTATCCACAACAGAAAATATTTAAGAGAATTTTTCATATTTAATATTCAGTATCTTTGCTTAAGTACATAAATAATATACTTAGATATATTGGTTATGCGAAAGCAAGCTATGTGCCATTCAGCTTCAAACTGGTTTAATTAACGAAACAGCAGTTATAAATTATATAATTCTAATTTATCATATATAAAAACATGTTTTGGTGCTAGCTGTTTATTATTTTAAGCATCCCGTATTAGTATTCTTGCATTTATCGAAAATCGTTTCGATTAAGGCAGCCCTGCGGCAGTTTTCAGGCATTTATCAACACTGCTTACAGTTTCCTTCTTTTGACAGCTTACTCAACGTGATTCGACCTTTTCCGGTTTAGGCGTTTACGATGGCGGTCGGCAAAAATAAGGGTCTCTCGAAAGGCGGCAAAAAAGGTGGCAAAAAGAAGGTGGTCGATCCATTCTCCCGCAAGGATTGGTACGATGTTAAAGCACCGAACATGTTTCAAACCAGGCAGATTGGCAAGACCCTCGTGAACCGCACTCAGGGCCAAAGAATTGCCTCTGACTACCTGAAAGGTCGTGTTTTTGAAGTATCGCTAGCCGACTTGCAAAAAGATATTGACCCAGAGCGCTCATTCCGCAAATTCCGTCTGATTGCTGAAGATGTGCAGGATCGCAACGTGCTCTGCAATTTCCACGGCATGGACTTGACGACAGACAAGTACAGGTGAGTGCGTTAGAATTTTCATTGATGCGGCCATGCGTTTATACATACATACGCACATGTATGTGTATATATGTGTGTGTGGCCTATGTGAGTGGGTTACATCGTGTGCGCTTCTCACAAACAGATCGATGGTCAAGAAATGGCAAACTCTCATCGAGGCGATCGTGGAGGCCAAGACCGTCGATGGATACCTCTTGCGCGTCTTTTGCATTGGATTTACGTCCAAGGACCAGCAATCGCAACGCAAGACATGCTATGCCCAGCAGTCGCAGGTCCGTAAGATACGCGCCCGCATGACGGACATCATCACCAATGAGGTTAGCGGCGCTGATCTGAAGCAGTTGGTTAACAAGCTGGCTTTGGATTCTATTGCCAAGGATATTGAGAAGAGCTGTCAGCGTATCTATCCATTGCACGATGTGTACATTCGCAAGGTGAAAGTACTCAAGAAGCCGCGTTTCGATGTGTCCAAACTTCTGGAGCTCCATGGCGATGGAGGCGGCAAGACCACAGAGGCCGTCGTTTCCGCCGAGGGAGCCGTAATTGATCGTCCCGAGGGCTACGAGCCTCCCGTGCAGGAAGCTGTATAAGCTTGCTTTGGACAAAGTGCGCATATATGGAAAACCAATGCATTCAGAGACTCTGTCTTTCAATATAAACAACAAAATAAATATAAAAATTGTAATATTTTACTTTATACTGGTTTGCTGGGTATTCTCGGGGTATTATGTTTCTTTCTCTTTACAGAAACCATGCACATCTATCAGATCCAAAACGGTGAGTAATATTTTGATATGTTTGCGTTTGACATTCAATGATGTTTTATTTTTCGTCTCTGACAACTTTGTTGAAAAACATCAAGCTGAGTGCCAAATGAACAATTTTGATTTTGTTAATAAAATGCCAATATATATGTTTACATAAATATATATTTTTATTACTCGCAGGAATCCCCGAATTGCAGCAGAAGACAAATAAAAGGGTAAGCTGATATAATATATAAATATTTATACAATTTAATGATGAATTATTATTATTTGCTACTCTTGAACAATGTAATTGATGAAAGTTACACCTTCGCAACTGAACTTATTCAAGCAATGCTAAGGGAGCAAAAATATTTTTTATTTAAATTAATTCATGATTTTCTATAGTTTCAGACTTTGAATGGTTTATTTTCCTGGCTCTGAGCTCCGAAGATGCTTGCCACTTCAATTTTAAAAGGAGCAGGAAGATAAAAAAGTTGTCAGTTTTGCAAAAAAACAAAAAAGAAAAGATGCCTTCCGTATCCGGGAAATTGATTAATGGGCATCCCAGGCCGTTTAACAATTATCCTTGAGGTTCGTTGACATATTCAAAATGTAATATCGATTGTATCGTGATGACAAACTTACCCAGCTCGCTTCGATCTACCATGAAGAGAACTGCTCCTAATCCAACGCAAAATTATTAAATTCTGATATTTGAATTACATTTGTTGTTTACATAAATATGTATTTTTATTACTCGCAGGAATCCCCGAATTGCAGCAGAAGACAAATAAAAGGGTAAGCTGATATAATATATAAATATTTATACAATTGATGAATTATTATTATTTGCTACTCTTCAACAATGTAATTGATGAAAATTACATCTATACAACTGAACTTAATTACTAAAATCGTTGTTTTTTTTTTACCTTATTATATATGTGATATTAATTCTCTATTTTCTTTCATTTCAGACACATTGCGCATTATAGAAAGTAACTCGTAATGCTTCCTTTGCAGTTGCAAGGTTAGTTTTTTTTATTTTACTCAAACACAGTGAAATTTGATTATTGATGAATTTTTATTATTTGCTACTCTTGAACAATGTAATTGATGAAAGTTACACCTTCGCAACTGAACTTATTCAAGCAATGCTAAGGGAGCAAAAATATTTTTTATTTAAATTAATTCATGATTTTCTATAGTTTCAGACTTTGAATGGTTTATTTTCCTGGCTCTACGCTCCGAAGATGCTCGCCACTTCAATTTTAATAGGAGCAGGAAGATAAAAAAGTGGTGAGTTTTGCAAAAAACAAAAAAAAAAAAAAAAAGATGCCTTCCGTATCCGGGAAATTGATTAATGGGCATCCCAGGCCGTTTAACAATTATCCTTGAGGTTCGTTGACATATTCAAAATGTAATATCGATTGTATCGTGATGACAAACTTACCCAGCTCGCTTCGATCTACCATGAAGAGAACTGTTCCTAATCCAACGCAAAATTATTAAATTCTGATATTTGAATTACATTTGTTATTTACAATAGTACTAATGATCCTATTTTAATAATACACTTATCTCTTTGCAGTGTAAGGCCATGTGATTTATTAAGAGGACAACTAATTTTGGCGACGCATATGCTATAAAGGTTCGAAAAACGTATTGCTTATATATGTCAATTTTAATGCCAGAAAATATTTTAAGGTATCTACGGATTCCCCATCGTTTAAATTATAAATGAAACAGCAATCCACTGAAATCAAAATATTTTAAAAGACATTTAAACATTTACTTGTATGTAAGGACTCAAAAACATATATTTTAGATTATTTATTTATTAGAAGATAAATATAAATATATGAGATTCTTTATGATTTACTTACAAAGATATTTAAACTTTTTAAGATAAATATTAAATTAAATGACCTGTTTCCTTAGGCAGATGGTCGCATACGGGATAGATATCCAAAGCCGTTCAACAATTATCCTCAAGGTTCGTTGACATATTTAAAATTTAATATTGATTGAATCGTGATGACAAACTTACCCAGCTCGCTTCGATCTACCATGAAGAGAACTGTTCCTAATCCAACGCAAAATTATTAAATTCTGATATTTGAATTACATTTGTTATTTACAATAGAACTTATGATCCTATTTTAATAATACACTTATCTCTTTGCAGTGTAAGGCCATGTGATTTATTAAGAGGACAACTAATTTTGGCGATGCATATGATACAAAGGTTCGAAAAACCATTTTCTTATATATGTCAATTTTAATGCCAGAAAATATGATGATATATCTACGGATTCCCCAGCATTTAAACTATAAATGATAAAGCAATCCACTGAAATTAAAATATTTTAAAAGACATTTAAACATTTACTTGTATGTAAGGACTCAAAAACATATATTTTAAATTATTTATTTATGAGAAGATAAATATATTAATATTAAATTAAATGACCTGTTTCCTTAGGCAGATGGTCGCATACGGGATAGATATCCAAAGCCGTTCAACAATTATCCTCAAGGTTCGTTGACATATTCAAAATTTAATATTGATTGTATCGTGATGACAAACTTACCCAGCTCGCTTCGATCTACCATGAAGAGAACTGTTCCTAATCCAACGCAAAATTATTAAATTCTGATATTTGAATTACATTTGTTATTTACAATAGAACTTATGATCCTATTTTAATAATACACTTATCTCTTTGCAAGTGTAAGGCCATGTGATTTATTAAGAGGACAACTAATTTTGGCGATGCATATGATACAAAGGTTCGAAAAACCATTTTCTTATATATGTCAATTTTAATGCCAGAAAATATGATGATATATCTACGGATTCCCCAGCATTTAAACTATAAATGATAAAGCAATCCACTGAAATTAAAATATTTTAAAAGACATTTAAACATTTACTTGTATGTAAGGACTCAAAAACATATATTTTAAATTATTTATTTATGAGAAGATAAATATATTAATATTAAATTAAATGACCTGTTTCCTTAGGCAGATGGTCGCATACGGGATAGATATCCAAAGCCGTTCAACAATTATCCTCAAGGTTCGTTGACATATTCAAAATTTAATATTGATTGTATCGTGATGACAAACTTACCCAGCTCGCTTCGATCTACCATGAAGAGAACTGTTCCTAATCCAACGCAAAATTATTAAATTCTGATATTTGAATTACATTTGTTATTTACAATAGAACTTATGATCCTATTTTAATAATACACTTATCTCTTTGCAGTGTAAGGCCATGTGATTTATTAAGAGGACAACTAATTTTGGCGATGCATATGCTACAAAGGTTCGATAAACATATTGCTTATATATTTCAATTTTAATACCAGAAAATATGATGATATATCTACGGATTCCCCAGCATTTAAACTATAAATGAAAAAGCAATCTACTGAAATTAAAATATGAATAAATCCGAATAAGAGTCAATTCAAATTTTTCCTCATAGCTAGTTAATCTCACAATTCTTTTACGTTTAAATTGTAGAAATTCAAACTTATTTACTTCGCTGTTCTATACATGGACTCAAAAACTTTTATTCTTATTTCTTAAGTTAAATCTATTTGTTAAACTCAGCTATATGCCACTTGGCCATTAGAAGAGAGTAGAGAAGTAGAGAAGAGATCTATGAATAATATACGAGGTCTAAACTAAACCAGACATTTAAACTGTTTAAGATCATTATTAAGTGAATTCAAATTTTTGTTCATGCAGATGACCTGACCGTGGACAGGAAATTAATTGATAGATATACCAGGCCGTTAAACATTTATCGTCAAGGTTCGTTTGTATATATAAAAAAAATGTAATATCGATTAAATCGTGATGACAAACTTACCCAGCTCGCTTCGATCTACCATGAAGAGAACTGTTCCTAATCCAACGCAAAATTATTAAATTCTGATATTTGAATTACATTTGTTATTTACAATAGCACTAATGATCCTATTTTAATAATACACTTATCTCTTTGCAGTGTAAGGCCATGTGATTTATTAAGAGGACAACTAATTTTGGCGATGCATATGATACAAAGGTTCGAAAAACCATTTTCTTATATATGTCAATTTTAATGCCAGAAAATATGATGATATATCTACGGATTCCCCAGCATTTAAACTATAAATGATAAAGCAATCCACTGAAATTAATATATTTATATACGCAAAGAATGGAGTCGGTTTGTTTTCCAATATGTACTTAAATCAATACGAGAACTCAAAAAACATTTATTATTCCTTAAGTTAAATGTATTTGTTAAACTTGGTAATGTTCTGCTTGTTTAAACAGAGACGTAAATATCTAAGATTATTTGTAATGAATATACAAGCAAAAAGTTAACTGACATTTAAACATAAGATTTATATTAAATTATTCTACCATTTTCTTCAGGCAGATGTACGTGTACAAGATGGATATTCAAAGCCGTTCAACAAGGTTCGTTGGTATTTATAGTACAATTAAATATCGTTTATATATATATTAGTTAGTTATATACATTTATTATTAAAAATAGTTCCTGTAATTTTATATTAATCATACCATTATATCTTTATAGTATATGGCAATGTGAATGACTAAGAGGACGACTAATTTTGGCGACGCATTTACTTCAAAGTAAGGTTTTTGGAATAATCTAATATGAGCAGTTTGTAAAAGCTGATATTGATATATTTATCCTTACAGGTGTGAAACCTATAGAACCATTTTTCTTTTCTTAATTGGGGTAGAGCTAAATCTAGCAAAGTAAGTTAATAAAAAGTTAATACAAATTTATCTTTTTATGATGAACTTTTATTAATATTGAAATTCCATGTAAACGGTTTGATATAAGATAGTAGAACTGATTATCCCACGCAAATTTAAAAAATCAAATTGATTTACATAAAATAACAGTATTTTTTTGTTTTTCAGAATAATTACCTCTTCCCGATATTGTTTCCCTAATCAAAGTTAAGTTAATTTAAAATATGGGCAGCCTGCGATGTTTGATCTACCAGGAAGGGAAATGTTCCTTCACCTACGCAATATAAAGATTTCCTAGTTATTCTTATACTATATAACTGATTTTTTATTAATACATTTATAGTAACACATGATTTTAAACGGAAAATTAAATAAATAATTCTTTCAAATATTTCTACCGTACTTAATTTCAGCACGATAAAATGTGCAGTTTTAAATATATACTAAACTGTATTTCCTAACTGGCTGATTAGCGGGCCATCCAATACAGATAGAAGTAAGAGAGAAAGCAGTATTTAAATTTTGGCAACATAATTGTTAGTCGCCTGGTTATAATAATGTCTTGCATCCAAAAACTGTTCCGAAAATACGTAAAAGTCTAGTATATGTTATCCGATGGGTTTCAAACGCTTTAAATAAAATGTTAACGGAGACATGTTTCACTTTTCTTATGTATTTGTATCTGTTTTAAGCTGACAAAATATTTTTGCCATAACGCATATTTTATTAAATAGCATGCAACTCTACTTTGGTATGATTCAAGAAAAAACGCGTTTTTATCTAACATGCATATGCGAGCTATGCGTATGTATGTATCGCCTGCAGCTGGCGATATATTTGAGCCTGTGACGAATGTACCCTCTGCCCAAAATAAAAATAAGTACAGATCTAAAAATTATTTGTCGTGACTAAAGAGCAGTACTTTCAAAATGTTAGATTTAACCACTAAATTAGGTAGTCTTATTGATAAGGCCGCTGTGAAGCATCGAATAATATTATTGCGTAGTTTATATACCAAATTAGTATATCGATAACATACATCCAGGCATCAGCTGCTTTTGTATTTGTAACGAGTAATAAACTCGCCGATGTGAGTAATAGTAGTGGGATTCCTGATTTTGATTTCGTCGATCAGCTCAGCAAGAGCAAGGAATTTGTGACCACAGTAAAGATTTAATGAAATCATCTTTGAGGCTGCGCTGACATAGTTTTGCTTGCTTGTGTAACTGTTTTCTTCGGAAAAATAGACGAGATGTTTGTTTACACCTGTTAAAATCTGATTTAGAACAAGGTTTTAAATGGTGAAATTACCGCTATAACAAAAAATTCTGCAACTAAACTAGAAAACTATTTTATTGAGTGTGTCGCACACTCTAATCCAAATCAGTGTTCACAAATCAAAAATAATTTCAGGAATCCCATTACTTATATTAGTACTCGTGTTGGTAAATACATAGAGATAACGAGAAAAAATCGATTTTAATTTTTAACTTATCGATACTTTACTCCAAAGCTACAGCTGTTTTTCATTAACAGTTAAGCTGTTATTGTAACAGTGCCCTTTTGAAATGTGTCTACAGCGGTTTCTGTTAATAACAGTATTCAGTTGTGTTACGGAAGCATCGGAGCTCTGTAAATTATTCAGTTTTTGTTGCGCGAGGTTTGGAGAGCGGTTGTGTGATATTTTCAAGCGTTTTTAATTATAAATTTACAGCATTATAAATACAATTGAAAAAATATATGTTGTAGCAGTAACCCTTTATAGATATTATATTGATAATGTTCAAGAAAAAAAAGTTCTACATGGAAAAGATCGCGCCGTCGGGTCAAATTTATGCTGCTTAACGAAATTTAGATACATATATCACTGGCGTATGTATAAGTATATGTAAATCAACAAATACTGATGCATACATATGACTGTATCTGTATCTGTTCACATATGTGTCTGCCTTTGTATGTGTAACGTGTTGCTTTACGATCGCGATCGTCATCGTCTGCATTCGCTTGTGTATATTTGTGTGTGTTTCTGTGCGTGTGTGTGTGGTAGCGGCAAGTGCGTGTGACGAATAAAAGTTGTCAAGAATAAAAAAAATTAAATAAGTGCAAATGAATCAAATAAAATAAAATAATTAATAATATATAATATATGCAATAAAGTTTTGCATAAATAATGTATATCCAATATTGCTTTAAATATTACAATTAACGTATGCGTGTGCTTTTAAATGTATATATATATATATATATGTATATGAATACATACATACATATCTTTATCAGAGTGCACGTACATGTATGTATATATTTGCAAAGTGTCAAATGAGTGCCAATTTTTTAGTGAGGATTGTCGCCGATTCTAATCTTCTCGGGCCAGTGTCGAATCGTTAAACCGAAAACAAAGCGAAATATTCCAAGAACTTAAATACGGAATAAGTGCAGTTTTTCTGTTTTACCGTCGGCCGAGTGAAAATGCAATATTTTGCGTTCTTTAAAAAAGTACGCATAAACAACCTAAGAAAATGTAAGTAAAACTGTATTACATTTGTATGTGTTCATGTATTTACATATGTACCCTTAGAGATTGGTTTTCAAGTTGACGGCACGAAAATCATAACGTAAATTCGTCGAATTCACGCAAAAACAAATACTTGAACACACACACAGACCCACACACACATGTATATATATAGATTGATGTTTGTTTATATGCGTGTATATACATAAAAAGGTTTATTTGCTGAAAATACGAAACATTTTTCGTATTCTCTTCTTTTTGTTTTGTTACGCTCGTTTTTTTCTACCTGTTGATATCCTACAATCGCGTCTCTAAATAGAAACTCGTTGTGTCATTAGTTTTATGCCGCCACTGTTATTGTTTTCGTCGTCGACGTCGTCGTCGTCGTGGTTTTTGGTTCGCTTGTTACCTTGAACTAATAGTTAGCCCTATTCCCTGCTGCGAGTACACACACATACACACACGTACGCACACACGCTGACAATCACAATCTGTTGCGAGGCCCGCACCTCACCAGGTACATACAAATCTTGTATATATGTATGTATGTACATTATGATGCCCGCTCGAACTTCACATAGCCCTACGCAGAGTCACAAACACACAGAGATACTCTCGGACGTTTTGAAATGCTCAAGTATGCATGCATGTGTGTGTGTGTGTAAATATGTGCTTATGTATGTCTTTCACATGTTTGTTCGTATTCCATTGGCTGCTTTCTGCATGTGAATTTCGTCTCTTCGAAAGAGAGAGTGGCGGCGGGTCGGGTAGAGCAGGGCAGGGCACTCAACAAAACTCTTGTTCTAGGAAGACCTCTTCTCGATCTCGATCGGTCGGTCGGTTGGTCGATAGGTCGGGTGACTGAGACCTTTTATATTAATAGGAAACAATATGACATATCGACTTATCAACATACATACCTTTATAAATATACACGAGTTTTCGATAATCGCACTACCTGCTAGAAGGTTGATATGTTTATTGTGACCCATTAATACATATACTGAGAAGCTGGTTTGTATTCACGCATATCCCTTTAAGAAAGCGGGAATGGCATAATACTCATACATATGTACAGCTGTGAAAAAAGTGCGATTACTGTTCCGGTTTTTTATACCCTGAACCCATTAAAAATGGGTATAAGGGAATATTGTATTTGTGCAAAATCCAAATGTATGTAACTGGCAGAAGGAAGTATCTCCGACCCAATAAAGTGTATATATTCTTGATCAGCATCAATAGCCGAGTCGATCTAGCCATGTTCGTCTGTCTCTTTCTATGCGAACTAGTCTCTTTTAAAGCTATCTTAATGAAACTTTGCAGAAGTCCCTCTTTCTGTTGCACGCAGCACAATTGTCAAAATCAGCTGGATCGGACCACTGTATCATATATCTGCCATCTGTCGAAAACTAGGTTTTTGATTAAAAACCTTTTTGCTTATCAAGATATCTTGCCCAAACTCGGCCTTAACTATTTTCGCTGTGCTTCTAAGATATGGGCAAAGTACTATAAGCATTATAAAAAGGTTGGGTCTGCAAGGGTATTAAATCATCGGCGGGCCGAAGAGAGCCTTTCTATCTCGTTTTAGTTAGTTATAAAACTATTAAAGGTGCCTTGAGAAAAATATAAAAACATATTTTAAATTTGATGTCTTTGTTTTTATACAACCCGGAACAAATGTATTGGGATCGACTGAGCTTGTCGTCCTAATCAATATACATATGTATATTTTGGGATCTGCGTGTCTGTTATGATGATTTTTACACAACTTTCTATGCCTATTTGTATATCCTTGTAGAGGGTATTATAATTTTGTCGTGAAATGTGTAACGCATAGAAGAAGACATTTGCGACCCCTTCAAGTATATATATTCTTCATCAGTATTAACAGCCGAGTCGATATAGATATTTCCATCTGTCTGTTTTTATGCGAACTAGTCTCTCGGTCTTAAAGGTATCTTTATGAAACCTTGCAGAAGTGCCTGTTTCTGTCCGCTTAAATACGGGCAAAGCAGTACAAGCATTATGAAAAGGTTGGGTCTGCAAGGGTATAGTCTTCGGAGTGCCGAAGATAGCCTTTCTTTCTCATTTAACTCCATTTTAGTAGGCACTGGGATTTTGATTTCTCTCACTCTTTCTCCCTCTCCCTCTCTCTCTCTCTCTCTCTCTCTCTCTATCTCTCTATCTCTCTCTCTCTCTCTCTCTCTCTCTCTCTCTCTCTCTCTCTCTCTCTCTCTCTCTCTCTCTCTCTCTTTGATGGGGTCAGCTATCTGATCTTCGACCTTCGCTATGCTAAATCTGCCGAAGTAAAGATCGGTCTAAATATAGCTCTTGTACGAACAGCATTTTGGTTTTTCAAGACATCTTAAGCGTCTAACCAACTGGGAAGTTGCAAGCCGAAAGCCAACTTTCTAAAAGGGTCGAAGAAAGCCGAAAACAATTTCAATGTTGTAAATACCAATTTTCGAAATGCCACAATATTTTGCAGTCTTCGCTTGGTAGCGATCAGAATAGACTGGTGAAATTGATACACATGCAACTGAAAGAAATATCAATGTGGTCAGCTTATGATAAGATTGGTCTCAAGTGTAGTAGTGAAACCAAAAAATTACGAGTTTGCTCGAGATAATTTTCATTTTCGATCGATTATATAGACTGCCTGCAAAAGAAAGACGCACCTAGGAAAAGATTCATTACCATAGCCCTATTAATGAGAGACTACCTTGCATGCTAATGTGGATCATGAACATATATGCTTTAGCTGTCGAAGATATTTCTTTCTATGCGTTATAATTTAGAAGATACAAGTTAAAAGATTTTTCAATCTATTAGGTGATACTAGGACGTATGCAGAATCATAAGTAGATGTCAAACTTAAATTCAA